TACTTCATCGTTTCAGTGTTGCCTGAATTTTCTCAAAACTGACTTATGTGGACAGGTTTGTGACTCAGAAGTATGTTGGCTAAATTCAGATCAGCTCCATTAGGAATGAAAATGTCTGTATGTACCCAGCAGCTTTAAATGTGTCCGTGTGATAAAACCTGCTGCACAAATCTCCTGCAGCAAAACATGTCAGAGATTTGCCTGCCCCCGGTCGGCTTCAGTTTCAGTTTTGAAACAAAATGTGTCTTTGTGACTCAAAATATCGGCTGTTCTCACATCTCGTGACTGAGGATGCCAGCAGGCAGGTGCTGACGGGTACAATCTCTTTTAAAGTGATAGTTGTTTTCAGGTGTGCATGTACAGTAAATATCTGATGGATTATTGAGCCCAAACCTACTTCAGAATGCCCTCTGTGAACTCAGTTGGATGTAAATCACAATAGCATTAAAAAACAATCAGATCTTATGACATGCTGTGAAAAATCCCCAATCAAAGGCAGCTGTGGAGGTTACACACTCCTACAGTTTCTTTGTGCCAGCAGTGACAGTTACTACTGCACTGAGCTAACAGTCACCATTCTGCAGTTTATTCTGCCACTCCCTTCAGTGTGCTGTCTGCTCTCAGCTGCAAGCAGGACAAGCTCACTCATCAATACCCAGGGCTGGTCAGTGCGCTGGCGTGTGCTTGCTACAGTGTCTTTCAACATGTGTGTGTTATGCGAGTGCGTTCGAGCAGTGCTTTTAGCTGCAGAACAGTCCCTAACCCTTTCTTTTCAGTAGGTCTGTAAAACAAGATGGCGTTGCAGCTCCAGATGTAGCTCAAACTAGTGCCCAGCACATATGCCTCAAGCTAAAGCTGGGGGTAGATTTGTGTAATTCCTTCACACCTGGGTTTTTTGCTGCACATAGCTAGAATTGCCTAAGCTTTCTTCAGCATTGTATTCCTGGCCACATTTAAAAGATTTGGAGCAGATCTAATATTTGATTTGATTTGATTTATTGATTTAACAGGAAAAGATTACTAAAAATCAAGCCTGACTCAGCATGTTTGCTGTTTTACAGCAGGTTCCTGTTCTGCAGCACATAAAACACTCAGAATTACAGCATCACAATCACATCATTATACACCATAGACACAAAGACAAACAAGCATACCAAATTTCAGGAAGGCAGCATTTGCAAAATAGGACGTCTAAATATCGAAACAGTCAGAAAGTTTAATCAGACTGTGACTGCACTGGTTGGTTGTTTGGTTGGTTGGTTGGTTGGTTGGTTGGTTGGTTGGTTGGTTGGTTGGTTGGTTGGTTGGTT